AAGTCGAAGATGCTCTACGAACCTGTTTCCGGTCCAGCAATCTTCCCGATCCATCTGGAGATATGCAGCTGCACTGCAGAATCCTTGCATGGAAGGTGAACCGTTTAGGAAAATTTCGACACTTTCTGCGACCCTAGTCTCGACGAGCCAGTTTTTCAACAGCCAGTGATCTATCACCAAGACTAGACTTTGTTATTCCGCGTTGGATTGGGAACCGAACTTCTTCACGAGCATCCCAGCGTTTCATCCTCATTCTGTGTGTCAGCGCTGCATGAAGACAGCAATGATCAGAAAGATCAAAAAGAAAGATCAGACCTTATTCAGAAAATTATGCTACTTGCAGCTTTCTTGATTGACTCAGAATGACGCAATACCTGTTACTGTTCTAAGTAAAACTGAATCAATTTTGTCATTCTTTGTAGTCTTCCCATTCATCAGGAACAAACCACAGACCGGGATGACATTCCTAAAGAGTGCATCTTATATCTAAATTGCACCGAACTTTTCTCGCTATTTAATCCAGTGCGATCTTGCCATAACGGCATTTGCTACAATGAAACCAATTCAAGTGGAACGCCGGCACATGCGCACGACTGTCTAGATCTAAATTACAACTAAGTCTAGACTTCACAGGATTTGATCTTCTGTGGACTGGAACTCGAAGACATTGAAGGAAAATCCCGATGTTTTCCATGCTGTTGATAAGCACCGATGCAGCAGGAGCTTTTTTCCATTCCCGCTCCTGCGGCACTAGTACTTAGAAACAGGCAGGAATCGGAGCCTGACAGCGTTTCCCCAGGGGAGTGCCCCTCGACCGCACCCGACGATCTTGGCAGCCCGAGCCGAGACACAGACGCAGACTGGGAGGGCGAGAGCGGGTTCCCCAGTTTATTCTCGATGAGGACATCCACCAGCCTCCGATCTCCGACGAGTCTCAATTGAATAAGTGGGTGCCTTGATGAGGCCTCATTGTATGGGGGGCTCCGCGCCGACTGGGTCGACGCTCCTTCCTTTGACGTGTAGTGTAGGCAAAGATCTGTTTTGAAGCGAGGAAATACCAATGATGATCTAATTATGATGGTTTCGTAAGTCCTGGAGGACGCTTTTTTAAATTATAGAAAATTCCGAATGCAGATGAATGACGTAGAATGGGACTTGTCTAAACAGCCTCTTGCGTTGAAAATTATGACAGCTTTGCAATGCTATTTTCCATGGGCTGTACGCTTAACGGCTGACTCTGCCCCTGCCTCTGGAATAAACATACGAGTACTATATGCCAAATCTATTCTTGGGATTTGAATTCTCTGTTGTGATTAGATTATGGGAAAGAAGATAAAATATCGTTGGAAATGCCATTATTACGATTTTTTTGGTGCAATTTTTCTTTCCGCAGGAAGGTTAAGTGGCTCATATATGCAATCGCTCGTGTGTGTGTCTGCTTCAGAGCAGAGCTTTTGTCAATGTCCGCGCGAATAGTGATGCTACAAACTTGACCAAATTTTCACGGCAACTCATAAATATGATAAACTTTACAATTATTTAGTCTTGCAAGAAATTCATCAGGCAACAAATTTACTATGAAACGAATCGAAAATAATTCGAAATACTGAAATTCATATATCAGCATAGCGTAGAATGAGCTCTTGTCTCTCCCCTTCCCTCTCTGTTCTTCACATCATTATGATATGAAGGGCATATGCATTATCCCGCCTGAACCATCCACGGTATGATATTGCACTCAATAGAGGCTACGAGACTAGGCTATTACGGATTGTCTTTATTTACTATAGTAATAAATTCTACCCTAAAAAGAAAAATCCCCCCTCACCGTCTCCTTTAAAACACACTAAGTTTGATGTTTCACTATTGCGGATGGATGGGAGTTGTTCTCATAAGACGATAGTCCGAGAATACGGCCAAAACGGGAGACGGTTTTTGAGGGAAGGTATATCTCTCCCTTGGGCGAATTTCATGAGGTAAAGAGCTACTTATTTTCGTATTGACTTTCCCCTGTCTTCTCTTTCTCTGGTGCTGTTCTCAATGGCACTCAACGCGACACCGACGACACCAACTGATCGTAATCGTCGCAAATAACGGAAAGATACAGCGGCAGGTCCACAATGCGACGTCCTTTCCAGAGCGAATTACTGCCTCAAAACTCAACGGCAGGCCACGAGAGAAGTATGAAGCACGTGTAAACGGGGGAAAAGGCAATTAAAAAACACAGTAACATCTCCTGAACGGCATCTCTTGTCTCTCTCCCACACAGCATGGTGTCCCTCTGATCCACTTGGATCAGAGGGGCACCATGGGCTCACTCCATTATTTACGACGAGACCCATCGAGTTCTCTTCCCACATTTATGCGACCCACAAACTTAGAAACGTCCAGAAATAATCTAGCTGTGCGACTCGAAAAAAATTGTAAATAAGGAAATGACGCTATTAATGTTGTGCCAGATGCCAAATGCCATGACATTAATATATTTCTCTGGGCACAGGTGATTCCTTCATGATTCTTTTCTGTTTCATTACCTCTTCAAACTTCCTCTGAAAGAACTCGACTAGTTTATTCTTTAATGTTGGGTGATTTCTACCTAAATACCGCTTCAATTTTGAAAGCTTCATGGATGCATTGGTCAGCAATTCACCACAAACGATGCATTCTGGTTTCATACTTACACTGTGAAACCTGGTTGGTATCGAATCATCGAAACTCATGTCGACGAATAGACATTTTGTCGAAAGACAGCTGAATGAACGCGACCATACATCGAAGGATTCGTTCATAGAAGTGTCTGGAGATCGAAAGGTTTAGGTCACCGAAGGCTTAAAAAGCCGAAAAAATACTGGCTTTATTTTCTTCGTTTCGGCCGTCGTGATTCATGTCGAGTTAGTTGTGCCCTGGCTACGATCTAGTTACACTCCGAAATGTCAAACGTTGAGCAGGAGCTACAATAAGTTCCAAGAGTCTCTAGAGGCTATCAAGTTACAAAGTGAATCTGTGATATTAATATTCTTCAGGGACGAATAATTCATAGGCGCTTCGTGGGAAGAAATACTGTAAATACACGGATCCTGGTTGCCGGCATATGGCTGTGATACAGATGGACCAAAGATAAGGTGAAGTCCTCTTCTGCAGAGTACTCACCATCTAGGCCCATCCAAAAATGTCTTTTTTGAAAGGGCTTTCCTCTAATGTTTCTTTTTTATGAATGCAACATACCGGTGTCTTTCATATTTACTTTCCATGTTCTGCTCAACGGCACACCGACAGAAATACATCAACTGATGTCAATGGCTTTGGGCCAACACTGTCCAGCTGACGAGACGATCCGGAAGTGGTCAAAGCTCTTCCTGGAGGAAAAGACGGACCTTGAAGATGAGCCATGAATTGGGCCAGAGGAAGACCGAAGGAAGAAGACCCACTTGCTGCAACCTTCTTCTTTCCCAGCTCTTCAGTGACGATGCGATGAGCGGAATCGGGTGAGACGTCCAGCTCATAAGGTTTGGTCTGGTGGTGATTCGGCGGTCTTCTTGAAGGAGGTCGGCGACTTGCTGGACTTTTTGGTGGTGTTGAAGCAGAAACTGGTTTCCCACTTCGTGGCTCATCTTCAAGGTCCGTCTTTCCCTCCAGGAAGAGCTTCGACCACTTCAGGATCGTCTCGTAAGCTGGACAGTGTTACCCCAAAGCCATTTACATCAGTTGATGGATCTCTGTCGGTATGTTGTTGAGCAGAACATGGAACTCGATGATGACTCGAATGTGATGTTTCGAGAATGATTCTTGGACGATGGAGGCGTTCATAGTGACTGTATGCAATATCAGGCAGCGAGTGTAAATCTGGATAAATTTGTACCAAACTTCGCACTGTGAATACTATTAGACATAACCAATGCTCACCGAAATTTAATACAGATTCATCAAGTGTAACTCATTTTAAAAATCAACACAGAGAACTTTTCGGACAACCCTCGTAGTAGTATCGCCCTGTAGTTCAGTCTGGCGTTAATGACTGATCTCTTCTCGATTTTACTTTTAATTCCTTTCATTCTCTCGCGGCCCACTGGTTGAGAACCATTATTCTAGTCATGAAATGATAAAAAATCCTGGCTTCCATTCGCTGCGGAAGCCCATCCCATATTCTTTACACATTGGAGAAATCAGTCCCGTCGTCACTATGTATGATAGCATTGGGCTACCAAGTGGCTCTGCTTTGCGAATTATCCCACTCACGCTAGCACTCCTTAAAAATGTGGGGGACTGTATTGCACTTCTTAACAAGGTCAGAGGTGTCATCTACCACAACATGGCCTCGACAAGGTCTCTTCCTCTCACGGAGAAGCCACAGCAGCTTGGACATCGTGATCCTTCATAATATCAATAGCCTGTGGCGAACTATTGAATATATTATATTTATTTTAGACCAAAAAATATTTTAACTTCTATCCCTAAACAACACTGCAATTTTCTTTCAGTGCCTTCTCACAGATGGAAATTTCTGCGGAGTGACAATCTAGAGAGGCACTGCCGAGGCAACTTATCAGTTGAGCAAGAAGTTCTTTCTTGTATCTACGGGAGTTGGAGTTTCTATTAGCTTTCAAGAACCAGCTCTTCTTAAGTGACAGTCATCCCCTGAGGGTTATACAGTGCTCTGCTGAAAAGACATCTCTAGGACTTGGGGTTCATCCTCTCCTTACTCCCCTCTGAATTTTTTTATTTGCGAGAAAAGAGTCAAACGAAAGAAAGGTCTAAGACCTTTCTATTCTCAGGCATCTCATGTAAAAGTGCACAAAATCATTGTTGACTTGTGAGGTATCAGAGAGCAGGCAGGGATTAAATTGCTAGGCATTCAATGGATAAACTAAAGTTTGTCTTCTTTTGTGCCCTTTGAATTCAATTTTGCAAGCATGCATTTGTGCAATGTCTCATATACTTTGAAAGCATGGGAATGGTCAGATGTCATGGAATTTAGTGCATAAACATGGACAAGGCAGTCACCAGGAACACGATGATTTATTCTTCCATAATAGCAAGGAGAGTTTAAAAAGATGTGATGTACAAAGTCCATGAGGAGAGATCATGTAAGATTCACGCCACCATATTGTTTAGTATGGACGCATACGACGACCAGGAGGACCCCTTTGTGGTGGTGTGATGGCGATGTCAAAATAGTCTCCGATGACAAAACGTATTTGTGACAACGTCTTGTTTTCATCCATGCTCTTCTGACCAGAAACTGTTGTTCCAATGTCCCGCATCCGGTAACCTTCAGAAAACAATAAAAACACCAAAGTGGAAGTTAGCTCCTTATAACCTTTTTGCTGTAATACAGAGGCAGAATAATGTAATCTTTTTACAAGCAGGATAGTCTACTAGAAAGAAAGGATTCTATTCCACTACAAGGAACTATGCATGGCATTAGGATCAGCATACAGTGTTTCTCACTCAACTTGGACACCTGTGCATGGGATGTTCCTCATGTACGAGTGTCTGAGTCAAATTAAAAAACAGTGACAAACCACACAGAAACAACTCATTTTGAACTACTGACATGGTGATGAGGAATTGGAACTAAAACTGGTGAAATTTTAGGCAACTTCCTCTTCAATGAAAATAAACCATTCAAGACAGTGCCCTCTCTGGATGTCATCACATGGAATGCAGAGAACTTCACTTCCAAAATGTTGTATAGCACCCTATGATTAAATTTAGCAGTCACTTTCTTGGACATGAACCAGGCAGGGGTCTAAAGCTAGATCCATTGAAGTTTCTGGCTCAACTCTTTCAATTCAGCTTAATATACTTCAACTCCCAATACAGTAAATTCAGCAATGAGAAACTATGCATGCCTATAAGTACACTTTTTAATGAAGGCATCTCCACCCAGCATTGCACTTAAATTACAAAGGGCAGAGAGAAGCTGCCTTCACAAAGCATGCATCCTCTTCCTCTGCTTGCTAAAGGTCAATACTGGTTTCACTTTTCTTTGAAATTTTTACTATGAGACAGTCCTGACATTTATTTGTAGCTAGCTCACTCCTGTGGATTGATAGAATAATGGCTAACAAATTACAATATGAAAAAAGATTGAATGCACACATTACAGAGAAACAAAATTTTAAACTATCAGGGCATAATAATTATGAGTAGTTTATTCTCACTTTGCCTGGCAAATTAAAAAATTTAACATTCTAATAGAACAGCACTGACAATTGAAGGCTTTAAAACAAGGGCATAATATAACACAACATAAGGATTCACTCCACTTGAGAAAATTCACAACACTAGCATACAACCTGGACCACATACCTGAACCCCTGACTTCAGGGTAAACAAGAGAGAAATCAAAATAAGTTCCTCTTCTCCTGGTGTCAGGGTTAACTTCTTTGATCAAGGAAGTGATCTCCTTCAATGTGGCATCCATCCATGTGTAGATCTAGTTAGACATGAGAAACAAGAGAACAATGTTCTCGTTAATAAATACTCAGATAAAGAATTCCAATGGCACAGTCAGGGACTCTAGCTAGATAGCTCTCCTGCCCAGCTAGCTGCAGTGAGCAAAAGTAGTTGTATGGAAAACACCAATAATTAAAGTGCAGAAAAATGGAAATTTCCACCCAGACTCAGACACCCTCTTGCACCTTCCATTTTATACTACACTAACTCATGGTGATGCTTTAATCATATACGATACCACATATTCATTTTGAGATGACAGATACAAATATAAATACTCTGCTTTCGCCTTAGTTTATCCCCATCTGCAAAGGTGTACAACTGTATGGTGATGATCATGTAAAACACATGCAACCTTTTGATGATACAAAGGGAAAATACTTTCTGACTACCATTTCTAATTAGAATGAACATCACAAGCACATTACACCATAATTTCAATATTTTGTCACCAGACATGCAGTACATATTCAAAATTACTTCAGACTGTTTCCATAAGGATCTGGAAAGTGATAAACTATTGACATTTGATTCAATCCTGTACTTGAATACACAGCAGCATGGTGTCATCTTTAGCTCTAAATTCCTAAAAAGGACAAAATTGTGGTTCACACAAAATCATAAATGAGAAAGCAACTACTGAATTTGAAAACATAGTTATCCAGTCATAAATAATAAGCCAAAATAGTTTCAATACTGCAGGGTCACAAAGTGGCACAACAAATTGTTCACCTTAGTTAAATTATAATTTTGTTTCCAACCATGGCTGGCTAGTGAGGATTTACAGTACAACATTTGGATGATAATTTTCCTTCAGAATAGAGCTCAAGTTCAAGTTCCAAATGAGGGTCTGGCTTTGAATGTGGGGATGCATGGGTTTGAGTCTTGGCATAGAGGACAAATTTCCTGCAGAACTTTACCTAGCATACTTGATGCATTTGCCAGGATGTCAAATTTCACTCATGGTGTCAAGGTTGGTCAAAGGACTAGTTGAAAGATGCAATATGGAAGAGGACTAAATATTTTATTATAAGAAATCTTGTTAGGAAAATCACAGGTATACTAAGACAGCCTTTCCCGTTACACCCAGGTTAGGTTGCTTGGTTTGGTACGGAAAGAGAAAGCTGCATTGGTCTAATGCAGTCATGATCATATGATGAGTGAGTTTTGCAAGCAACAGCAGAGAATGCACAAAGTCAGTGAGTTATTGTTTGTGATATTGTCATGCAGTCATCTTAGCAGCTCAGCAGATTTACACAAACAGCTATATACATCAGAACTTCATAACCTTTGTATTCCATTCTTAAAGCCTGACATTCTCTTACCTGGAGTTCATTAGTTGGGACGTTCCCCCTGTTATATTCATTGAGGGCATGATGTCGTCCAAAGTTATAGAACACTCTCAAAAGGAGGGGACAAGTTTTTTCCCGATCAATGGGTTTCTCAGGCTCAGCTCTGATTTCTTCAACATGTGATTCCACCTGCGCCATCACTTCAGACCTGAGAAAGGAATTCATGATACATATAGGGAGGGTTTGACAGATGAGAATATAAGATATGACTTATGCCAAGTGGCTTGTAATAAATGGCATGTGAAGGCATGTCTATGAAAACTCTGGTTCACCTTCAGCTACTGCAGATATATATTGAACACGAGCTAAATGGTGGGATATACGAGGGATTTCTCAAAAGTTCTGCCTGTAGCCCTAAAGTAGCTTTTTGCGGCCGCCTCCGATGACGACTTGTGGGCCACTGGCAGAAGTTTTGAGAAATCCCTCGTATGTTGCTTTCCCAGTTCAAGATCATCACAGCTCAAAAAACTGAATTTGAGATATTGCACTTTAAATTTCTTGTTCAACATAAATAAAAAACTTTTCTGGGAAAACTTCCAAAGAGGAACACCTGCCAAATGGTACACGTGATTTATCAATTGCAAGCTCTTGATGAATGGATTGAGTTGGTACATATTTTAGCTGAGAAAGATAAGAAAGAAGTGGCAATTTTAATGTTAAGATGTGTGGGTTGTAGGCTAGGCAAGCATGGAGTGGTGTGCTCACACATGTTCAACATTTAAACATGGTTTAAATGTTGAAAAAAAGGGGGAATATCATGCAATTTGGTTTTTCTGAGTTGTGACAGTCTTGAACTGGGAAGGCAATGTGCCTCACAAACCAGACCTGGTTCAAATGGATTTGTGTTATAGTCAATAGTTACATGTGAGAAAAGGAAATAGATGAAAAGCAAACTGAACTAGGAAAGCTTCATGTGACACAAAGGCAAAGGCATCCAACATAAAATGATCAGATAAACCTATAATATGCATTATATAAATATTCACAAATTTGCCATATATTGGTGCATGAAACCAATTATAATGAATATAAAGGTTTTATAAGCCTCATACTGAATTGTACTGAAAGAAGCACCTGCATCAGCATATCTGAATATGTTGAACATATGCCCCTTGTGAAATTCACATAGGGCTACATTGTATATGATCACATATGTAATTGGTTCCATAAGAAGACCAGATATGTTTACTATATATGAGGACCCATCAAAAAGTTCCAGGACTGGCCTTTTTATGCAAAAACTAGATACACAAGTTAGGTTACAGTATGCTCCCCTTTGAGATAGCTCCCTTAACTTGTGATACTCATCTCCCCACTTTTGTAAAGAGCATGGAACACTGGCTGTCATTCTTGGCAATCACCTTCAACATGTTAGTCACAGCTGAATGGAGAGAGCTTGCATTGATGAAGCTGTGGCCTTTCAGATGGAACTTCACCTGGGAAACAGCATGAAGTTCAGTCATGAGGTCTGGTGAATAGGAAGGATGTGGGAACCCCAGAATTGGTCAGAAATTCTATGGTTCCCAGTTTTGTAGATGCAGGTGCTCTCCAATCAGCTGCAACCAATGCATTGAAGGTGATTGCCAAGAATGACTTAGTGTTCCATGCTCTTTACAAAAGTGGGGAGAAGAGTATCACAAGCTAAGGGAGTTACCTCAAAGGGGAGCATACTGAAACCTAACTTGTGTACCTAGTTTTCATACACCAAAGCCAGTCCTGGGACTTTTTGATGGTTCCTCGCATTATCACACATGTCCACATAAACTACATGACTACATCACACATGATCTATATACCAAATATTTTACAATCATAAGTTAGACTAGTCCACATGAAGTAGACTGGAACATCGCTTTAGCTACCAACCATTTTGCTTCATTTTTATTTTTGATCTATAACAGCTCTTTCCATGACTTGTCACTTTTGACTTGAATATACCTACACACCCTTAAAAAAAATGGGCCATTGAACTTCTGCCTTGGTCAGGTAAGTAATGGTGGAACAAAATCATGAGTTAAAAGCGGAAATTCTGCCTGATGCAGTCATAGCATGTTTACCGAGAATGGGTGACAGGTTCACAAGGGGGATAGAGCATGGGAGTTCAGGGGGAGGTTGACCATGAACTATGCCCAATGATAACATGCGTTAAATAAAAGGTAGCATGGACTCATTTTAAAATCATTGTGTTTGAGCCCATGTTAAAGATTATAAGAGTAGGTCCTCATATCGCTAAGTTAAATATAAAGTACCTGGACCTGTTCCGCTTGCAGCTAACCTATGGAACATGCCAATTTAGCGCCTAAGGTACCCCGCGCTGCGTCATATTTCGATGTCCACGAAAATCCTCAGTAAACACTTCAGTAGTTGCAAGGGAAAAATTGGGCTAAGCCAACAAAGCAAAATCTTTGTAGGTTGGGGGCCCCTTAGAACGAAAACCTCTTAGGCACCATGCGGCTCGTGCCCCTGCTACCCGGCAAGCGCTCTGCCCGGAAGACTTATTAGTGCTGCCGGCTTCCTTGTGGTTCATCTCAATCTCTAGGATTTTCCCTCCTCATTTGTGGAAAAATAAGAATTTCTAAATTCTAATTTTACATTGAGCACTTCAAAATATTTCTCTTTCTCGTTTTTTAACTCAATATATCTTGCTGTAGAGGGGACTCAGGAATTGGCGTTGTGCTGAATTAAAAAATGTTTACTCCAATTCCAGCATGGTTGCCAGGTATAAGATGGCGGCGGCCTTTCCTGAAATAGCGGTTTGATGGTGGCGCCGATATCTTGCGGGCGTGAGATTTTTGGTTTTTCGTTCCTCCTGTTCCTTAACATTCCTTCCAGGCCTGCTTTAATGCATTTGCGCGCAGGTTATAGTAGCAAAAAGTAATAGGCTTTTGCGCTTCACATAGCAGTCGGTAGCTAAATAAGAGCTCGCTCGGTGCTTTTTCATTGTAAGCAGCATCGGTAAGGCTCCACTTGGAATATTCATTATTTGGAGGCGTAAAACACGATTTCAGGCTTAGTGAAGGGTCAGAGACCGGCTAGAAATCTGATAGGGGAGGCTTAGAGGTTTTCACCCAACGGAGTGCGTAGGGTATTGTATGTGCCCCATGCGCTTCCTATAGTTGGCGCTGCAGTCGACCACGTGGTTCCCTAATTGTTGGGAGAAGTGCAATACAGAGTTTGGGTGCAGGCAAAACGTGTGATATGTCCTCTTAACCTACTTATCCTTTTTTTCTAGTGAATGTTGTTTGTGATGGTAAACCTGCTTTGGGTTGCTTATAAGGTTTGCAATAAAATACTTGATATGTGCCCTTTTTATAGAGGTACTTTGTGTTGTGTATTTGTGATTTTAACATTAACAACAAGCTCAAATTCCTGCCAATTCATACATATGGTGAATGGAAATCATTCCTTAAGCCTCACCATTCCTTTGCTGCTTTCATTGCAAAAGAAAAGTTGAATAGTCTCACAACCAACTGTTCCCTCGTTTATAAGTAGAAATTGCAAAGCAGAATTTTGAAAAGTAAAATAAAAATTTATTTTGGCAGTCATCTTGGTTTTGTGAAGCTTCATGCTAATTTTTTCCCGAATAAGTGTTATGCAAATTGGCATACTTTCATTTACTTTTTCACCTGTACTTCCCCTCAGATTCATCTCATTCATTTCTGTAGATGTATCAAAAGCTAGAGAAGATCTATATTGAAAATTCATTTGTCTCCTCTGGACCACGGTCAGGTGTATGTTTGGGTCTGAGCTGACATCAGTTGGCCCAGCTATGCCAAGGCAAATTCATAGGATGATACGCAGCAGTCTGAATTTAGGGCCTGAGTAGCTGGAGCAAACCAATAGTCTGTCTGAGCTTTTGCTGGAGAGAGAAACAAGCTTTTTTATTTTGATCCACTCAGTCTCTTTGGAAGTAGAGGGAAAAATAATAAAACAAACAAGAACCTTGTATGATAATGCAGGCGAAGAGAACAGACATGAACAGGAGGAAGAGGGAGGAAAAATAATGATAAACAAAAAATGAATGAACAAATTTATGATGGAATAAATTTAACAGTGGAAAACATCAAGATAGAGATAAGGGTAAAAGCAAAAGACAAAATACTTCAAGAAAAAGAATTGATAGGTTTAATTGTTGACTATCATTTTTTTCATCTTTGCTCAGCTTTTCCAAGAGGGTATAGAAAATTTCCAAGTTCTTTATTTCCAACTTTTCTGTGTCAAAAATCTCTGATGCAAAGATGTGGATATTCATGATTTCAAAGGAAGCCAAAGGTCACAGGCTGACCTTCAGATCCGAAAGATCTGTTTATTATCATTGAGATAATTTCAAAATTTTTTTTATCTCACAAGCTTTTTCTCAAACATGGGATACAAATTTGGACAATATATTTCTGTCCTGTTAGATTACACCTCTGCACAATTGTTTCTTCAACCCATGGCAGATGGTAGAGAATATGTGCCAGGTTCTGATTGCAAACTGGGGCTGCTCTTTACAGGTGCTTTCTTAAATTGAGTTCTACATGTTTCACTTGACTCAAGCACCTATCCATGGAATGTGTATTAGCGTTGGAGTTTGAATTATTGACTAAAGTATCTGACTCAATTAAAAAGAACTCTCGGAATCTTCAAGCAGGTAAACTTCCAACAAGCAGTGTTGTTTGGGTATCCCCTGAAGGTCTCAAAATGATTCATACTGGGTGTATTCCTTATAATAGTAGAGAAGGTTTACTTGAAGGGATTTCATCCAGATATTATTATCAAGATTTTCTACAATATGATGTGTGGAAGGTTTTTTATTACTCATGTTGTAGTCCTTGCTTAATATTCCAGTCCTTTGCAGTGAGACATAATTCAACCAAATAGGTTTATATTTTTTTACAAGTAACTTTCTTTCCTTATATCAAACCCAACTGGACCTTGGTAACTGACAAGTCTAGATGTAAGCTAGACCTATAAAATTCCCACTTTTCAACAGTGAGCATGTTTTGTGGTTTGGTGAGTGAAGAGCAAAGAATAAGCCATCTACTACCCTCCTCTCATTTTGGAATTTTCTGTCTGCAATAATTTTTTATTGATTGCACCCTACCTACCCCCTTCTAAATGGTACAACCTGTTATTCAACTGAGTGACATATACTGCCTCAGAATTACTATCCCCTGTCTAAATCAGTGACTCAAGTGGGAATTAGGTCATTCCTGCTTCCACCACAGTAGAGGGGTGTGAAATCCACTGTACTACCCCTCTCCTTGGTGCAAGTTTCTGTCTATTATTACCCCCCCTCCCCCCAATGTAAGCTTGTAGGCCTCTATGTGTGGGAACTGGCTTTTTGGTAGTGTGGGGAAAAATCTTGTTTGACTGGAGAAAGCTGGAAAGTTTTTCAGGGCTCATATGAGCACCAGCTTGCCTTACTTGTTTTATTCTATTGGCCAGAAAAGGTGTTTATGCTTGGTCTGTATGATACAAAATACATAAGGAATAGACCTACAAGGGTATGAACCACAAAGATGTGAGGAAATGCGGTCCTGTATAAATAGCCCTTTCCCATTAATGATTCAGTCTATCCGAGTTGTGTGTAGTAGTAGTATAACCATGTTTTTATGACCTCAGATGCAGATGTTTATTCTGTTTGAGCATGCTGCTGGATATGCACTGTTCCATGTCAAGGAGTTTGAGGAAGTTGGGATGCAGTTGCAGCAGGTCAGTTTACCTGTCTAAGGACATCATTGACTTTCTAATAGCGAGATTGTATTCTAGCTTTCATGCATACATATCTAAATTTTGTGAGAGCAAGGAAAAAGGGGAAAGTTGCCTGATGCTCAGAAACCTTCCTTGCCGCATCCATTTCATGGATAAATTTTTAAACTAAGAAAAAGTGCTTTCCATGAAGGAATGTGAACAAAATGAACTGCTTTCCAGGTGGAAGAGAGTGTGAATGATTTAAGCAAGTTTCAAGCTGCTGTAAAAGTTGTCGGCTTCACTCCATTCAAGAATGCACAGAATGCCCTGGATAACATCAACTCCATCTCCGAAGGTATAATTATGAAATTGTAGCTTAACTTTTCCATGATTCATGGTCCTAGTTCTTGTAGGTCTGCTTACTTTTTTTCAGTGGATTCTGTGAGATGAATACAGACCACAAGGTTTAACTTGCTGTCATCTTCTCTTGATCCTCTCATTTGCTTTGTTTTGCATTCTCTTACGTTATCATTCATTGACTTTTTTTTGCTGTTACCTTCAGCTTCACTTAGTTGCACTAGCACAATATGTGCTTAGTTCATGATTACTCAGTTGTCTGATACATCATGCCACCTGCATCTGCTCAGAGGTGATGAACAGTTGGAAAATTTTATTAGGACGGGCCATACAAGCTCAGATGGATTTGCAATATGGTTGTGTCCATTAGTGCATGTCGAGACAGTTGACTTTTCCGCAATCTCCTAATGTGATCTCATTTTCTTTCTTCTTTTTTTTTAGGACTTATGCACGAAGACTTGGGAGTCTTCTTGGAGAACAATCTCCCCAAGAGCAGTGGAAAGAACAAGGTAAACAATAAATGATCAAAAGCTGATATTCTCATGGTGGTTAAGTGTGATTTTCAAAAAGTTTGAATAATTGAGCTGAAAATCTATATCATCAGAGATAAAGTGACATCTGAAATATCATCTACTATATGATGATTGGTTGATGCATGATGATTATTTCTCAGCTAGCATTGTTTGCTAATCACTTGGAATGAGAAAGCACTGTATCATTCCTATAGACTTGTTATATTGCTTCCTGTAATGAAGTAATTATATTGGAACTCATGAGGTATGTTCATTAATAAATTTCATGAACTATTCCTGTGGAAGTGTATCACAACTTATAGAATTCATTTTGGCTTGTGAGTACAGTTTTGCCCGAGTAGGGTAATGGTGAATCATGGTAGCTAATGTCAATCTCCTGAAACCTTGCATCTCTTACTTCTCCGATTTAAAAAATGGTACTTTATTATCTCAAATTTCCTTTTGTAATTTACCAGTTTGTTCTTGGTGTGAGTGATCCAAAGCTGTGTGCTGCTATCACAGAAGCCCTGAATATCCAATGTCAACACATTGGTGTTGTTCCAGAAATAGTACGAGGTGAGACTCATTAATTTACTCCTTAAGCACTCAAACCAAGTTTCCCATATACCAAACAAAGCCTACAGATTGCATCATATATGAATAGGATATTATTTTAAATTAAATTAAATGTGCAAAATATTGCTCATATCTCTTCATTCAACCAATTTTTTCATTTAGTTAGCCTTTTAATGGTGTGGATGTGTAGAAGTAAAAATATTTTTCATTTTATGGCACACAAAGAGAAAGGGAATGACTCCACACAAGAATTTCTCCCATTTACACTCCCTCAGGTAAGGATTTTCTCCCAATAGTTCTTTAGGAGGCCATTGGGGTGGCTCACTGGCTGTCTGGACCCTTGATTGGCACAAGTGAATCTTAGCGTGTACTGCTGTTATTTTCAAAACATTACACACAAAGTGGTATATGTTTACCAAGGTGATAGTTGGCCAGTCCTCAGAAATGAAGTGAGTTGTCTGTGAGAAGAGGAGAGACCTCCAGCTCTCAGACATTATCCTTAGCCTCCTGGATCTGAAGCACAAGCCATATGCCTACTATGCTCAATGTTGGATATGCCTAGCAGTCATATGTACAAGAGAAGCCCATGAAATTGCATATATCCTCTTACCAGGCTCTCTTTTCTAAGCCAGGTTCATAGGAATAACTTACTGAAATTGGCTTCAGAACATTAAAGTGGTATACTTCACTTTCTGCTATCAAATTCAGACAACCTTTCTTTGCTTGGAGAATTTCTCTTATTAGTTCATTAATTCCAAGAATAAAACTACCATCTTTTACCAGCCATCTTCATGAAAACTCCAGTTTAGGATATTTTGTTGTCCCTACATTTATATACATTATTATGGACTTGCCTCCTGCAAAGTAAGAATCTAAGTTTCATCCTCATCAGTCCAATATGCTGGTGTTGCAGGTGTACGGACTCATTTTGAGAAGTTGGTGAAGGGATTTGCTGGAACAACATCAGGGAAAGCTCAGTTGGGTCTTGGCCATTCATATTCTCGTGCAAAGGTCAAGTTCAATGTTAATAGAGTTGACAACATGATAATCCAATCGATTGCTCTTCTGGATCAATTGGACAAAGACATCAATACATTTGCCATGAGGATCAGGTATGTCAAGGCATCATAATTTTCAGAAGTGCTTACTATGCCTCTCTCATATTTGTGCTGTATCAAGGTTACATCAGTTAGGCCAAGTTCATGCTTGTGCTATACAGCATGTACAGCAACAGAAAAATCCAATCCAACATGGGCATGTTCCATTGGACAGTTGCTGCATCCAGCATGCTGTACAGCATGAACTTGGCCTTAGACTCTGGTTTTACTATTATATTTTATTACAAATCATGTATTGTAAAAGTTATCATTGCCAATCATTTCCTCCTGCAATAGGGAGTGGTATTCTTATCATTTCCCGGAGCTCATCAAGATTGTCCCAGACAACTTCACTTATGCAAAGGCTGCCAAGTATGTTGGGAACAGAAAGGAAATGCTTTTGAGGCCAGATGCCTTACAATACTTGGAAGAGCTCTTGATGGACTCAGCAAAGGCACAGGCTGTCATTGATGCTGCTTGTTCCTCCATGGGTGAAGTTCATGTTCCCTGTATTTCCTAATGCCTGAGTAGAAAAGGAGACTTAATCATCACCTAATCTTGTATCCTGTATCATAAAATCTTGAAAACTAGGTATGTGTTTCATATGACCTATTATGTCTCTTCTATCTTCAGCATGTTTTCCTCCATGCTCTTTAATTATGTAATCATTGTATGATCTGACTGAGTTTAACAGCTACCTTATTTGAAGAGTAACCAATAGAATAGCTTAGTTTGATTGAATATCTTGTGGTTTGCCTACAATTCCATTATACCCAGCATGTTAATGCTTCCTGTTTATGTAATGCCAGCCAATGTTATGGCAGCAGTTTGCATTGAATTAATACATAAGGCTATCAGGTGCTACATATGCAACTGATGTATACAGGAGATTTAGATGTTTTTCTGTGGTCTTTCCAGGAATGGACATATCTCCTGTGGACCTGATAAACATTGAGCGCTTTGCATCTCGAGTTGTAGCTCTTGCTGAATATCGGAGGTCACTGCAGGACTATTTGCGTGAGAAAATGCATGCAGTTGCACCAAATCTGTCTGCACTGATTGGAGAAGTGGTGAGCATACTAAAATTACAAGATAGAATGAATGTCGTTGGCTCATGACCTGAGAAGTTTGGGAGGTGCATTTCAGCAATGGGCATTTAAAAATAAAAAGAGAGATAGAAACTATATACGCTGAGGATAACACGGTCTGAATTTTCCACAGTTGAGTTGGATTTGGCAAAATATGGATTTTTATCAGGTTAACATTGAAGATAAGAATTAAAGCTTGAATTAGATTGGTCTCAGTTTTAGAGTTACCATTGCACATTTGATGCCATGGGATTAAATGTATTGAAAATTCCAAAGGTATTTAAATTCTCAACCCTACATATTAGTCATATTCATGTATTTTACTGTAGTTTCTGGTCATGCATTAGGGTAAAACCATCAAGGTTCAGACAGTACTTAAGTTCGGACACCATAAAATATATTATTATAAAATGAAGTATTTGTGAGGTTACCTTCAGAAACAGCTCCTCCAAGCTGCGAAGAACTGTTTCTGAGAGAGAGCTCGCCAATGTTGGATTTTATAATGATGTACGTGGTAGTGACCAAACTTAGGTGGTTTTACCCTATGCCTTCTCTTTTAGGTTTTGGACTGAAATGAATAGCTTCTTTCACATAGCATTTCTATGTAAGAAATAAGCTGCATACTTCATTGAGGATGCTCCTGAAACATTTTTCATTGTATCTACAGAATTAGTTGTAAAAACATGAAAGTATTTCAAACAAATTTTAAAATAAATTTTAACTCATGCTCATGACTTTAATTGAAGACTGTCAAGAAGTGTCATGTGTACCTTTCTTGATTACTGAGTTGAGTTAGATTGAATGTACTTCTGCCATAAACTTCATGCCTGACTAGTGTAAAGAGTTTAGCTTATTCATGATAATCCTGAGGAGATTGAAGCCAGAATTCAATTGACCTAATTATTTCTTTGGTTGCCCTCTTCATGTTCAATCAGCCCACTAAATGAATAAATAATTGACCTAGCTGCATTCAAGCCTATTGTGCTTTGTCATTTTAGGTTGGTGCTCGTCTGATCTCTCATGCTGGGTCCCTTACAAACTTGGCCAAGTATCCAGCATCCACTGTTCAGATCCTTGGAGCTGAGAAGGCTCTGTTCAGGTATGCCTCCTTGTATGCTATTCATTGGTTGAACGTTACAGGGATTGCTTTCTTTCTGGATTCATAAAGATTTATGTTTTCAATATGCTGTGTTGAGAAGGAAGAGCAAGGCTGAGGAAGTAAGGTGAATGAATGCATGATGAATGAAATTTGTCAACTTGAAGCTCCTTCAGGCCTGTAGGCTGAAAGTCAGAGACAGAGAAAATTATTATAATGTATAAATATATATGATTACTAGCTGGGTTACCCGGCATTGCCCGGGATATTTTTTAGGAGTAATATAGCTGTTCTTTTATGTGCTTTTTTGTTAGTGCTTATTTGTCTAAGTCCAGCCAGACCGATGGTGATGGGAGCACTGCTCTTGCCATTTTATTTTTATTTGTTTTTTTTTCTTATTTTTTAAAAGTTGTTCTAAATTAATTCTTAACTCAAAGGGGCTCTTCTTTCACAAAAATCTAACTTAAATTAATTTCTCAATGATATTCTTATTTCACAGAAAAAACTTACCTCAACTGTGAGATAGATCATCTCCATTCCAGTAGCAATAAATTGCAACTCAAAACCTGTTCCAAGCTACTGCACTTGACAGGAATGAAACAAGAATCAGCATCAGACATT